GAGGTTGGTGCACTGGAATTCGAACCTGGGGCACCTCTCTGTCCATGGAGCCACGTCATCTACAGTATTCTGTTATTATATTTAATTTTATAACCGGCGTTTAACAGGCGGCCCAATTCTGAGTAAGCAACTATCAATGCTTAACTTCATAGACTTTTTACATTCTTACATTACATAGTCTTTTTACATTCATAGTACAAGTGTTTTTAATCTATATAATTTTAAGCCCATGTTAAAAGACAAGGGAACTCTTGGATCAAATATTGGGACAAACAAGCTTTCGAGGAAGACTTTTTAATGTACTATCCCGCATTTGCATTACAAGGAGAGGAAAACTTCGAAAAACTCTCATGGTTAGTCCGATGACAGGGGGATTTTATACTACTGACGATATTTTATGTCGGTACTGCGGTCGGTATCAGTCGGGAGCATAATTCCTAGCAACCAGCCAACGCTGGGATTTGAACCTCGCTCACCTCATTATGTATAAAAAAAACAAATAATAATCAACTAGAGTATCAATTTGACGATAAAGTCGAATCGCAATTTTATTTACGCGATGATCAAAACTGTAAAATAAATACTGAAAAGTAGGAGCAGGTATAGGAAATAATCGTAAAAGGACTTGAATGAAAGGTAAAGTTATTTTACGATAAGCAAAACTGCATGGCTAAAACTAGAATTTGAATTGGTGTTTTTAATTCGTCTATTGATAGGATAACAAAAACAGTAAAAACCATTTTTTGAGCATAACAACTTTAAAACTCCAAATATATGGAGAATGTCCGTAAAAAAACAGAAATATTTTACATTGTAAATCTTACAGTTCCAAATTTGCATCGTTGAAATGATATAGAAACCTTTGGTATCATAGCAAAAATCATTTCCCAAATTAGTATTGGAAAGACATAAAAAAAAAAAATTCTAATGATCATGAATGGTACAATGTATTAAAATGTGAAAGTGTTTTAATGTTAATGTAAATCTATTGTTATAATATATTTTAATGTAAGTTTTAAGAAATTCTATTTCCTTTGAGACTCGGAAAAAACTGAATTATGCATTGAAAAAAGTATCCGATTTGATTTTACAAAAATGAAATAAAATCATCAAACGAGAAATTAATAAATTTTACATTGTGCATAAGCACCGCTTAACCATAATAATTCACCGAAAAATCATACTAACCATAAGTATTGCCAAATTTATTTTTCAGAAAATCTTAAATTTGGTTTATCTGTGGACGAATCAAGGTTTGCCAAGGTTGAACAAGTTGAGCGTTAACATGATCTTTCAAAAATGTCTCAACCTAGCTCCCGATGGACGGTTTGGAGAACACTGGCTTAAAGCAAGGTGGAAAAAAGAATTACAAGGAAAAACTTAAAAGTTCTTATAAATAAATTTCCCGCAGCGAAGTTGAATGGCTCTGAATACTATTAGGAAACAAAAATAACTTCTCGTATATCAATTCATTTAATAGCGTCTAATACCTCAATTTATTCAATCAACCTACTATATGAGCAACCAGATTCAAGCCGCTACAATTTAACCACATTAACTAGACATCATAAAAGGCTTTTTTACTTTTTAGTTGGTCGAGTGTCTTAAAAAAATCCTCACTATATGTCCATTCAAGATATTTGAAACTCTGTGCAGAAAGAAAAGGTATGGCTGATTGTACGGCTTGGGTCTTTTTATGCAGTCAGAACCAGTATAATAAGATTTGATTTATAAACTTTTTTGTTCTTCCTCTTTTAAAAACTTTAAATTAGTAACATTATTGTGAGGTTATAATTTCGTGTCATGGATTTTTGACTTAATACACACATTCGTTATTTATGACAGGAAAAAGCAAAAATATTTTATTGAGAAGCACCTTTTGTTATATATCATGCATAGTAATTCAGTTCATAATTCTAAGGGGCAAAAAAGCATTAATAAAAGTAGTTTATTAATCAGAAATTAAGGAGACATTGAGAGATTTTAGTTACGTAGAGATCAAACAAACAGACAAGAAATAAATACGCAATAATGTATTGCATTATAAAAAGACTAAACATAATAAAATATTAACAAACACACTATGGGTTTGTGAAGCCTTTCCTCTAGATTAATTTTCTATCTAATACATAGAGGGCACCACAATACTTTTACGTCACTGAATTTGAAATTCTTTAGTAATATTTTTCAAACGTGAGTATAAAGTTTTTTTTTTAAATGGTAGTATAAAAGCTAACAGTCATGACTTTACATATGTTCTGTATGAGGGAAAAAAACCAAGTTTTATATACGAATTTTTGGAATTTCGAACGTAATATATAATTTGAATATAATAATTTTAACGAATCTGGTATGAAGTAATGTTAAAAATTAAATATTCCCCCCCCCCAAGTCATTTAAAAAAAATTAAATCAACTCTAAATACTACGAATGAAACTCAAATTTGGTTAAGAAAAATATTCGAACATAACTGGTATTAATAAGTTAAAGTAAGCAAAGAATTAAAAGGGAAGAATAAGAAATTATAAGCTAGTAACAATAATTAATATTTTTCAAAGAACATTATATTTTAACAGCTTTCAAATATTTTAAGTTCATTAATTATTCCGCAATTAATAAAATTTGATAAATCTTTCGAATTATATAATAATTCAAATTTTCATAATTAGAATAAATTTATCTTAAGCTTATTTTAAACTTTAAATTCAGAAAACCCAAATAATATATTCTAATTATTTTTCTTCAAAATTATTTCTGTCGATTTTCTGCAAATTATTTTTATCTTAATTCTAAATACTTGTAAATTTTATTTCAATTCAAAAGGATTCCAAAGCAATACATTAGTTTAAATATTTTTCTTAAGATAAAAACATAAGTAAACAGAAATTTCACGCACAGATAATTAAAAGCTAATTCTGAAAATATCACAACTTTCTTTGCGTTCATCGCAAATCTTTTTAAAAGACATTACAAATTAATCTACAATGCATTCTTTTCTTATGAAATACGACAAACTTTGCGATAAAGAATTTTTTAATCAATCAAAAATAGCCGCCTGCATTACATGATGAAGTGATTTTTAGTAAAAATATTTTCTCATTTGCGCTTTAAAAGAAATATATTTCCACTCTCCTATTCATTAAATAACTCTTCAGAGAACAGGTATTAAAAAAACCGTGATCAGAAGTAACTCGTAAATTCTTTTCCTCATTTGTGATAAAGTTCTAACTTGAATCGAGTAAATTAACTCTTTCTACGAGTAAAAAAGAAGAGGAAATTCGACGGTTTTAAATAGTTTGGTGATGAACGATACCCGATCATTTACTCTTTATTCTCGTTTTTTCAGTTCTGAAATTTTTGAAAGACAATCTTCATTAACAATGCGGACATTTTATTCCTTTTTAACTCACTTCATTACAAAGTTCGTAAAGAGTAACTGAAATGAAGGAAAGTCTATTAAGAGCTCTCTTAGATATAAAAAGGTTAAAGAGAAAGATATAAAAAGGTTACTATTATTACCTATAGGCACTTTGTTTAGTTAAATAGGTATACCCTTTTCAACAAAATTGATTTGATTAATGAGGAATTTTTGTTACATACTTATCTAATAAAATAAAAGTGCAGCATTAAAATCGAACTTAAATGACTAAAAAAATTTTAATGTCTTCTCCAAAAGTTAACTAATAACATTCTACATCATGAAAAAGGACTTTTTGATGAAAATCTGAGTTCTTTGTATATTTTTGGCAGAAAATGACGAATCTGTAACTATTTTTTGTTTACAAGTTTCACCAAAATCTACATTTTAGCTTGGCGACTTTATAGTACACTATAACAACTTGCAAGCAAAGGTTGGGCACTCTCAGTAACAGTAAGATCATTGGCCATTTGGAGAACATGGCGAATTCAATGACATTTTTTAAGGCCAAAGACTTTACTTCTTTTCCCATGTTTTGAAGCTTTAGATACATTAGGAAACGAGGCGACTGAGAATTCAATGGATGCTTGGGGACTTTTCTTCATTAAAAACTGTATGTGGTGTACTATTTTAGTTTAGACGCATAAAACATACATCTTTTGTTGAAACAGAATCACTTAATTTCATCTAAAGGATGGAAAAAAATAAAAAATTTATTTGCACAGTGAGCCAGCGAACAACGAAGCAAATAACAATGAATTTGTTTTTGTTTTCTGGTGTTGATAAATCCAATGTATTTAACTAAGTATAGAAATTGTTCCTATCCTATGTTTTTATCAAAAATTAACCATGATTCTTATTTAGTGTATTTATTCAAGAATAGCAATGATTCATATCCAGTGTATTTATCTAGCAATAGCAATGATTCTTATCCAATGTATTTATCTAAGAATAGCTATGATTCATATCCAGTGTATTTATCTAAGAACAGCTATGATTCATATCCAGTGTATTTATCTAGCAATAGCAATGATTCTCATCCAATGTATTTATCTAAGAACAGCTTTGATTCATATCCAGTGTATTTATCTAACAATAGCAACGATTCTTATCCAGTGTATTAGCTAATAATAACAATTATTCTCCTCCAGTGTATTTATCTAACAAAATAATATTTTTTAGGATTTTAATGTCTTGTCAGTAGGAACAATTTTTATCCAATGGATTTATCCAAAAATAGCAATGATTTTTATCCAATAATAGCATCGTTTCATATTCACTACATTTATCTAACAAGGTACATTTATCTAACAATTCCTATGATTACTTGCCAGACCCTTTAAGACATAAGAACTCCGATTTGAAATTTGCTTAATAGAGAGCAATACATACTTTTTATGTTTGACACTAACCTTTTATAAATTAAGGCTCGTTTCAGAAAGTTAGTCTCATTAATTCAAAGCACATATAAGTGTGTTCTGACTTTGCAATTTAAAATTTTTTAATGCTTTAAAAATGTATAAAGTAATTTGCATTTATATCGAAATTGAAATCGTTTTTCTTTTCTAGTGACTCTATTTGATAGTGCGTTGGAGCGTCATCCAAAAAGTCACTACAAAATAGTCACCTCAACAGCGACTTTTCTTCATTCAACCAGTTCCTTTCCTTTGGTTCTTAAGAAATTGCAATTTTTTTAGAAATCATCTAAGTTCCAAATGTTATTGCGCATTACATTTAATTATCAAAATTTCTATGGCGGAATGGTATTTTATTACCTTCAAGCGCTCTAAAGAGTTAAGGTAGTGGGTTCGAGTACCTCCGTAAATCTGGATCCGTCAATGTGCTGTCATTTTTTAATGAGTGATATGTTCTTCAATTTGACATGGGTTTGTAAGTCATTCTATGTCTAAATACTCAAGCGTGCATATGTATGCGCAGTGCTAAATAAATAATGTCTAATAAAAGAAGGCATCAGATGTTAATCTGATTTTTCTTATCACACTACCTTGAGGGTAAATGGCTGCAAATTAGTCACAAAAATCATGCCAGAATTGTACGAGTTACGTACAGAAGTTTTGAAAATTCGCAACAGAAACCAAAAACATAGATGGAAATAGATTGGTAATTTCCCCCTTAAATCTGAAGAGTTTAAAGTAAAATAAGCTTTCGAAAGAAGAAGAAAATCAGAAAAAACTTTCCAAAAAACAATTCTAATGAACTAAAAAGAATAGGCAAGATAATGAGAGAATTCAAAATAAATGCGATGAGATGGAGAGCAATAATAGAATCCGTATATTTCAATTCGGAGTAACGAGGAATATGTTTAGATGTATGCAGCCTTCTATGTAAAATTTATGATTGCAGTTTTACGCTCTTCACTAAAAATTTATTAAAAAATATTTGATCTTCATAAATCCTCGTCAGTTCCCAAACCATAGTTCTACATACAAACTTGTACGCCTCAATAGTACGTAAACAAGGAAAATTTTAGAACATTTCTACTGCAAAGTAACAATTCAAGCATTAATTTGTAAACTCAGTTGTTAGAATTTCAAACCACTTTCAGCTATTTTGCAAACACAAAGAAGCTTCTTCGCTTTTAGCTGCACTTAAAGTCTTTCGTCGTCTTTCAAAGCCTACTGTAAAATTTAAAAGTAAAATAATAAAAGAAACATTGAAAGGCACTGTGTGTTTTTTTTTAATTTGTCGTTAAAACTTTAACCGCATGCACAAGCTTTGAATCGTTCTAAATGCAAAAGAACACAATTTTTCTTTGATAACAAGAAAGTGCAATTATCTCTAAATCTTCTAAACACTCAACATTTTTCCTGGCTGAACTTCGCTTTAAAAAAGAAAAGAGAGTGATTAAAGTGAAAACTGTTGTTATCTTGTAAAACAAACTGTATTTGATGGTTTTGCCAAGAAAACTTCACCTCTATGTTTTTTAAAATTGAAAATTGTCGATATACGAAGAAGTAAAAATAATTTCAGCCACTTCAGTAAACAGTCTGGGTTTACTTTTTGAGGATGATGTCTTGCTACTTGAAGGTAAACATAATTCAACAAAGTATCTGCTTTGGAAGAATTTGAAAATAGTTATTAATTTTTATGCATAAAACTACAAATATTTTTATTAAATCTGTATGTTTAAAACGTTATTATGAAATTAAAATTTTAACTTTTTGAAAATTTATTAGATAGATCAATGCTTAAATATCCTTACTATAATTTATAAGAAAAAACTATGAATATTAGTATTCACGTAATACTTTATAAGAAAAATGAAACTATGAATATTGATATTCATACTATAATTTATAAAAAAAATGGAATTATGAACATTGATGTTCATACTATGACTTATAAGAAAAATAAAACTATTAATATTAATACTCATACAAAAATTTATATGAAAAATAAAACTGTGAACAGTGATACTAGATTCAAGAAACATAAACTATGAACATTATTATTCGTACAATAATTAATAAGAAAAATTAAACAATAAGCATTGGATATTGCTTATATTGCATCCATTTATAGGAAAAATGATGCTACTATTATGATGATAATATTATTTTTACTATAATTTGAAAGAAAATGAAACTGTAAACATTGTAAAAAATTATTTTACAAAATTGAGCTTAAATATTTCAATATAGTCCCAAAATAAATATAGTCTAAGTTGAAAAACTCTATGCATTTAAAATTGAAATAGCATGTACTCATTTTTTCATATATATTCATTTTTTCATATATTCATTTTTTCATACATTCATTTTTAAAACTGTTGTATGCGGAATGTATTTGGATTCATTAGTTTATTTTTGAAAAAAAGGAATAATTTCCGTAAGACAAGTTTGAAAAATGGAATCAAATCCTATGTTCATTTCCTTAAATATCTGTGTTTATTTCTTTAAACACGCATTTCGAGCTTTATAAATTTTTTTGAACACGCATTTTGGGCTGTGTCTATTTTTTTAAATACGTATTTTAAGTTGTGTCCATTTTCGTAAACAAGCAATTCAAGCTGTATCTATTTTCTTAAACACGCATTTCGGGCTGTGTTCATTTTCTTAGATACATTCGTATTTTCGAGCTGTATCCATTTTTTAAATGCGCATTTTGAGTTATGTCCATTTTCCTAAATAATCATTTCGAGCAGTATCCATTTTCTTAAACCCGTATTTTAAGCAGTGTTTATTTTCTTAAACAAGCGTTTTGCGTTTCAAGCTGTGTCCACGTTTTTGAACTCGTAGTTTGAGTTTGATCCAATTTGTTAAACACGCATTTTGAACTCTGTCCAAAATTAAAAAGACTCGCCTACGAAATCACCTATTACGTTTGTTGTTAAGAGATAATAACTATTAAAAGAATACATCTGTTTTTACTATCAAAGAATAGTTTCTGTTAAAGGATAATTACTGTTTTAATAAAAGGTCATACTTTATGACTTAGACACAACTAGGAAATTCTTTTTTTCATTATTTCCAATTGTAATTAAACTGTATGTAATTAGAGACTGCGTTTGGTTAACAGTAATATTAAAATTAATGAAAAACAACTTAATCAAGTAACATTTAATCTGTTCTTCAACTATATTATTTAAAAATATATATATAGTAACATAGTATAAAGTATATACTTTAATCATATTACTTTAATTAATGCTATGTTTTGACTTTAATCTAATTACCTTTCATGATTGTTCTAAGTAATTAACATTACTACTTATTAAAATTAAAATATAATAAGACATTACAAGAGGAAAGTGCATTAAGAAGTTTTTAGAAATACAATATTTAAAATATCACTTTTATTTATCCAAGTCAAACCTCCAAGGGGTTATTCTTAAATAATCCCGCATCGCAATTTCGGGTTTGTTCCATTATTACTTTAAAGAAAATCATAATTTATGGGAGAAAGAATTTAAATAAAAATAATTCACACCACGAAGAATATTTTATTATTTGAGATGCATATATTACATTTAATAAAATCGAAATAAACAAAATGCAGATAATAAATTGCTTTGTTCGAAATAAATTACTATTTTCTTTTAATTTACTTTCGAATGCTAAAGACTAAGCAACGCTTCCATTCAAAATAAGGAGCTAATGTGAATCCTATTTTTTCATATGCGGTAATTTGGTTAGGTATTAGATTTCAAATGCAATAATTTTTCTTTACCCTTTTTGAACAGTAATCAAATCTAAGTTATTGCATTAAATCTTTTTAGCATTTTTATTATTCTCAATCTTATTAAAATGAATAATAATTATAAAATCCATCAGATAACTTTATTTATCGTTTCGTTTGAAAATCAGAATAACATTATATTTTTCGTGGAAGATTCTTAGTAAATTTTTCTTTATTGGCTTTATTTTAACTTTCTCTCTATATTAAAAGACGTGAAAGCCGCTGTTGCTGTTTTGGGTTTTTAGCTTTACTTTGTTTGATGTGCAAAAATTATAAGACTTAAAAAACTTGAAATTACAAAGAGGTGTACAAAAATGTCAGGGAATTCTTTAAAATAGAAACATTTAAGATTCATAGTTCCATAATTATTAACCGGTAAACTTGTAGTAAAATATAACACGCGGGCCACTATGCAACCCGCATGGTATTTCAGTTCGTCAAATTTCCAACTGCATGGCGGATATTTGACATACTGAAAAGGAATTTTATTTAAGAACTTAGTACGAGTTTCCAAAAGGATAGTTTATGCTTTGTACTACATTGGCTAAAGTGAAAACGTGAATGAAGCACAAATCAAGTACAAAAATATATTATAGTTTCAATTCTGTATACAAGAACTGTTTTCGATGCTCAAACAGCAAATGATATTAGGAAGATAAAGAAATATACACGTACAAAGTCAATTAACTAATCAGAACGAAGGAACAAGTTTGAACAAGATAATAAAAGGTGATAATAAATAGGAGTGAGGGGGCTAGAACCCTAGAGGGCAAAAGATTATGAGTTAATTATGAATTTCCATGCTTTGAGAAAGGTGGGAAACCAGAAAGATCATTTACTGAATTATTAGAATTTTTTCAAAATATGGAGCGATTCCCAGAAATCAAATTTGGTAGATGAAGAACAGTGTTGAATGACTTTTGCTCAAACTTTTTTTGTGTCATAGTGATGCATATTTTTAAGCATATTTCAAAGAAAATAGCAACACATTTTATAAATTTCTATGCTTGACCTAAAATCTATACATTTTTTCATAAAATAAATATTATTTAATTATTATAATATTTTAATAATAGTTTCACTAAAAGTTTGCATAATTTGTTATTAATTTTATCAAATTTATATTTAATATTATAGATTTGGATATAACATTAAATGATATCCAATAAATGACCATACAGAGTTAAATTATGTACACAGCCAATCATATATTCGTATTTCTTGTATGGAATGATGGATCTATCTAAAGATAACAAATATCCAAAACACTAATATCCCAAAAGGCTAACAACAGCGGAAACTCCGTTATGGCTATGTGATTCATATCACCAAAGCCCCTTACTTTGTAGCTATGCCACTTCTCATTGTAGAAACAACGGCTGGACAGTAGGGGTTTGCAGAATGGTCACTTCGTTGATGGATGGGTAGGAAATAGACAATGATCTATTTGATGGCCGCTCAGAATAACTAGACAGAGGATATTATTCTGTCTCAAAATGTAATACTATAATGCTAAGCCCAATTCTATCTAATTTGCTAGTTTCTCTTTTAGTAAGAAGCTATCTTGAAAACAATAATTATAGTGATTTTGGGTTTCTGTAATTACATATTATGTGCGTTCTTATGATTAAGTATTGTAAGTGGTCTTATTTTTCAGTTTTATATTCTAGAATAAGAAAAAAAGGATGGACATTGGGTACACATGACAGGAAGGGGGGGGGGGGGAAATGAACCATCTAAAGATAGTTCATTTCTCCCCCAAGATAGTGTGAAAGAAGAGGTTTACTTTAACATCGCTATCTAGACATTTGAATTGCTGTTTTGAATGTAACTTTTTACGGTGAAACGAATGAAACCAATCCTAAATCAATAAATCTAATACTTTAAAAGTTATTAAGGTTCCATGTGTACTTCATGAGTACATTTCCAAGTACATTTTTCAACTTATACTATTCTTTCTATTGGCGCATCTGACATTGCTTCAAAACTTGTGTCTTTCCCACATAAAATCCTCCTTACTTATAAACTAACATTTTTAAAAATTTCCTTTTTATTTCGATGAATTTGGTAGCCTGCAAACTATTATTAATTGGTCAATATCTAAAGAACCAAGTCAATAAATAAGACATTCAACAATTAGTTGATAATGTTAAAGAATCAAACTTTTGAACTTGAACAATACAGAAACCGTAAATGCTCACATTTTCAAGGGAAAACTCTTGATTCGGCACTATAACGAAAATCTGTAGAAATGTTCTTAGCATATAAAGTCATTTATATTCCATAATTTGTAATAATTTAATCCTATCTCCAGTTAGTCTGATGTTTAGGTAGATAATGTGCATATTAACGGCTTTCGGTCTTTAGCGGTAATAGAATTTTAAAATTTTTTGAATTACCAAAATTGTATGCAAGAATTTTATATTCTTAAAAAACATGAAGATTTGACTAATAAGCATTTGATTTGATAATTCCATACAAAATATAACTACTACCGATACTGTTTTTTGACCATTAATAAATAAATCATAAAATCTAGTAACTATTTGCTAAAAGCTTTACGGAAAGTTTTACGGAAAGTTGCACGGAATTACCTTTGGATATACACGTTTAATAATAGGGCGTAAAATGTTTTCGTTTCGCTTAAAAAGTTCTCGTGATATGGTGAAATACGGAAAAAGTAAAATTAATCTTAAGGGGTCTAAAATTTGGACTGCTTTCTTGATCTAACTATTAGAACCATGAGTACTAGATTGTAGCTATACCCTATATTTTGTGGGTAAAAAATGCGAATACGTCGAAAAAAATGATGAGTTTATTCAGAGAAAGTACGTTTTTGGATCTGATTT